CCCCAAAACCCCAAAACCCCAAAACCCCAAAACCCCTCCTAAGCAATCTAGTGTTGAAATTATGCGAGTTGCTTCAGGAAACCAACTTTCAGGAGGAAGGTTCCTACTTCTTTGTAAGCATCATCAAGGACTTCCAGTTGCTCAGGTTGGTTAGCTTCCTCTGGAGAAGTACTGCCAACTTGAGAGTTGACTTCTTTATAATAAATAATCGACCTAATCTGAGCCTAGAATTTATGGTATAGAATTACCTGAGTTAAGGAAGGATGCTTCTGATCTGAGAGCTGATGAATTTGTAGTATCTGCTCAATAAACAGCCCAACTTTCTCAATGACTTCCTTGTTCTTCCCAGGCATGCTATTTGACTTAATCTCAAGTAATTTCTAGGGTAAAATTTACACAGGAAGATACCTTTCTGAAATTTTGAAAGATCTTTTGGTACATGGTCGAAGTAGGCTGAGCTGTGTGTATGACTACTTCTAGATACCCCTCTTTAACTCCTTCACTGATATAGGTGGCACTTTTGAGGGTATCTACACACATCAAAGATTGTTGTAATACCTTCGAATATCTTTCTGACTAGCTTCAGAGTTAGAGTAGCAGACTCAAAGTCAAGCTTGCTTAATAGAATTCTTGGAAATCTTGAATATTTTTGAAGAATGTCTTGACTACAGTTGTGTCAGTAGTTCAGATGCCTATCAGGCATCTGATTGTTCTTTTGAGATCCCCGCTCCTCCATCAATCTGCTACTTTATCAAAACTTTGCTTTCTAGAAGAGATGAGCCAAAGAATACCTGAGGCAGATTTTATCAACGAAATTTTGATGATCTGGTAGAGTCTCTAAGCGAAGCTTTATCAAGGGATCTTTCCTGTAGAGTTAGGGAGTTCTTACTTATTTTCAGCTATTTTGAGTCATTTTAGGCACTTCTGTAGTCTCTGGAGGATTGACAGAGACTGATTTCTTAGGATGTGGGAATCTTGGGACCTCTGGCTATATTTATTTTCGCTTAAAGTAAGATCAAAATGCTCCACTTTGTCAAAACAGAAATTACCTTAATTTTTTTCTTAGTTTTTGGTTTATCTTCCTGAATAGGTTCTTTCTTCTCTTCATCAATTGCATTTTTGCTCTTCTTAATTTTTAAATTTCTTTTCTCTACCTCTGCTTGTTCCTTAATATGAGTAGTTTTCTGTATTGCTTTGACTGGGATTACTTTCTCAATCTTCTGGTAGTCGAATCCAGTGAGCATTTCTACTGCTTCTTTATGAGAGATAGGTTTTCCAGGATTGAGGTTCATATTGTACAAAGATGTCTCTTCCTGGATTGTCTCTCAATTAGCAAAATGTTGCATAAATTTCTTGTCTTTATCAACAAGAAGACCGATTTTTGGCTTTCCTGTTACTTTCACATCTCGCACTTCGGAATATGAGCAAAGTGAAGGTAATTTTGAGCTATTTTTCTTTCTTCAGCTTAGCTACAAGTTATTTGAATATCATTTACCATGGACAGATGGTCTACGTTTCTGTAGAAGGTCTGGGGAGGACTCATAGCCATCACTTATGTCTCCTGAGCTCATTAACTAGAAATTAAAGACAGCAGTTTACAGAGGGGTAAAAGGTTCGTCCAACTTCAGAGTTTAAATCAACATCTTCAAGTCTTTTAGACTCCTGTGTCTGTGCTAAAAGATAAGTAGTTGTATACCAAAATTATCAGCCTAGGAAATTAAGGGGTTAATTTACTGTTGATGAATATCTACTTGAGATTTCAGGAAGAGGTAGATCACTGCTTGACTTCATCCAAAGATCCTTCATCTTTACTTCCGGATCTAGACGAGATATTATTTATGACACAACTATTCAAGGATCGGAGTTGAAGCTAGAAAATTCCTTGAATAGGCAAGATAGCTGATATTTTCCTACTTATTTGTGCACTTTGTATTGCAGCCCATTTGTGACGGTGAGGTCTCATATTCAATATTGTATTATAAAAATGGGGTTTTGGGGTTTTGGGGTTTTGGGGTTTTGGGG